TTATAGTATAGATAAAGATAGAGAAGGGGAAGAGGAGAGAGCAAAACAGTGACAGACAGACAATGAATCAGTGGAAGGAGGAAAAGAAGATAGGTAGATAGATAGACAGATAGATGAGAGTGCTTATGAAATGAATAGAGAATGAAAAAATACAAAGGAATAAATCTGTGTGGTTTTGCTCTTCTTAATCGTTTTACACTTGACGTCACTTACACGATATGCATATACATAAATTCTAGAGTTCCATGAATGTCAGGAAATAGCCAACTAAATTTTGTCGAATATACAGGCAATATCCATTTCTTGATAATGACCGAGATTGTCAAAAGTGCTTAAAAACAAACAGAAGAATGCCCAAGTGTAAATCACCTAAGTCGTCTAGAATATAAATTCTACGAGAAAGTATATTTTATTTGTAAAACTTGACTGTTCACACATCCCGTATAGTCACTGCTCTTGCCAAAAATCTTCAAGATTTACTTTTTTGCCAGTAACAAAACATCGCGTAGAGTTACCAGATATAAAACTGAAAGTGAAATGCATTGTCCTCGCATACGTAAAATTCATACATGCATATATGCAGACGTTAAAAGAATATGCATACTGCATGTAAATGCAATGTGTGCATCCTGTAAATTAGAACACTTTTGCACTCTCATAAAAATCACACACACATAATTTTAGTATACACACACGCTGAAACATTGTCGGCAACGATCGGCGCTGTCAATATTGAGATAGACCGCCTCCCTACCCCAGCGGCTCTCTCAGGCAAGCGACATCTCGTTAACTTGCTTTGGTTGGCTAATATTTTGTGCCTCTGACTTGAGGAAGGGAACTAGCTCGCGCAAATGGCAGCACTCAGCAGGTGTCCTATCGCCGTCCCAGCAGGGAATACCGCTATGCGGAGGCACATACGTCCCGTGAAGACGAGAGGGAAAGAGAGTTGGTTGTGGAGGGGTCAGAAGCAGGAAGAGAAGAGAAGGGACACTGCTTGTGGCGATCAGAGACACAAGCAGGAAGAAAGGAACGAATAAAAGGAGTGGGAAGAGTGATTTGCTTGAACCGGGAGGACAAAAACCAAGGCTCACTGTTTCCTGAAGCTGAGCGCATTTGGAAAATAAGGAAAGGGTTTTATTTTTGAAAAAAAAAGAATGAGTGATCGAGAAACGGTAAACAAGATAGGGAGAAGGAAAAAATGACACACACGCACCCACCCACATGTGTGTTTGTGCGTATAAAGATTGAGAAGGGGAAGAGGAGAGAGCAAGACTGTGACAGACAGACAATGAATCGGTGGAGGGGGGCAGAAGGAGAGTGACTAAATAAGGACGAAAACGGTTGTTTATTTAATCGGAAAATGTGGACCATAGATAGATAGATAGATAGATAGATAGATAGATAGATAGATAGATATCTGTGAACTGACTTAGATAGATTGGGAGATATAGGAATAGCCTTAGATAGATAGATAGATAGATAGATAGATAGATAGATAGATAGATAGATAGATAGATAGATATGGACCAAGTAAATATGAACTATTTTGATAAAATAGTTGCACACGCTGATAGATAGATAGATAGATAGATAGATAGATAGATATGAACAGACTGACATAGATTGATAGAGATATATGAGCAGACTGAGATAGATAGATAGATAGATAGATAGATAGATAGATAGATAGATAGATATGAACAGACTGACATAGATTGATAGAGATATATGAGCAGACTGATATAGATAGATAGATAGATAGATAGATAGATAGATAGATAGATAGATAGATAGATTAATATCTATCTATGAACAGACGAGATAGATTGGGAGATATATGAACAGACTTAGATAGATAGATAGATAGATAGATAGATAGATAGATAGATATGAACAGACTGACATAGATTGATAGAGATATATGAGCAGACTGAGATAGATAGATAGATAGATAGATAGATAGATAGATAGATAGATAGATAGATGAGAGTGCATATGAAATGAATAGAGAATGAGACAATACAAAGAAATAAAGTAAGATTATTGTAATGTAATGGAAGATGGGAATCATAGATATCTTAAGCAAGAATAATAAATTTGGGTGAACATAGAGACAGTCTAAAGAAAAAAGCAAAGAGTGGACGGTACAAAGAAAAAAGTGCTAAAGCTTCGCTTGTAAGGTGAAAAAAAAAATCAAAAGAGGCAATTAGAAGAATAAGAAAAGGAAAGGAATAGAGAAGTGAACAGAAAAGTGGGGAGAACGTAAAGAATGAGTTCAGGGAAGCAAATCATTTGAAAATGGCATTTAGATAGAACAACGAGTTATGCAAAGATGTCCCGAAGAATGAAAGAGGAAAGGACAGCTGATCGAAAACAAAAATAAAAACGAAAGAATGCAGAATAGAAAAGACAATGTAGCCTAGAAACAGAACTGATTGACAAAAAATTCGTACTAAAAATACAAAAAGAAAAATAATTAAATAATTTCCAAAGGTCTAACACAAAACGGCATAAGGGATAAGAACCTCAAAATCAAAATGAATAAAAGAAGAAACTGATGTTATATATATATATATATATATATATATATATATATATATATATATATATATATATATATATATCCAACAAAAGCCGTTCTGGATATGACATTAAACTACATCCATGTCCTGGGTATGACGATAAACTACATCCAACAGCAAGGCCTCTGATCTTTTTGAGGAGCGTGGAACCACCTCTTAATTACTGGTGTTCTCAGTTTTACCTTGACCTGGGGTGGTAGCACCTGTTAGGGTCTCAGCTATGTGTAAATAGTTAACCCCCAAACTAGGGTAAAAAAAAAACTATGAAAGTGTAAAAATAGGTTTTAATACCAGAAATACTTTGTAAAATGAATTACCAGCAATACATTTTTTAGAAAAATTATTGCCAGTAATAAAAATCTTGTCAGCATTAAATAACCCAGTAAGATTGATAAGCCGTAAAACAAAGCAAATCAAAAAAAAAAACAAAAAAAAAAAACACTCAGACATACACATACACCCAAACTTTCATGTCTATCTCTCCATCTCTCTCTAGATCGATCCCTGTCTTTTATGTATTTATCTCTTCCTATTTTTTCTACGCAATACAACTAGACCAAAGAGGGTTTGTTGCTTGGTCATTTGTTCATATAAAAGAAATTGCCAGCACCTTTCCTATATACGAGATATGGTATGAATGTAATATCTCGTGTTTATTCCCGTGGAAACTGCAACATTCATAAGGCACGGTGACTTTCAGTTTTATGTTTCAAGCGATCGTCAGACCACGTGTCACTACACTTTCCACGAAAATAAATTTTTAAATTTCTTAAAATTTCTGGGCTGATGTACAAACCCAGACAGTAAAACAAAATCTTACCACGCTACTTGCAACTACATCAGGATCAAAGAGTCTAAATTTGATTCCATAACATAAATCTGTTAATGTATACTAAGAATCCATATACCGAAAATATGTAGTAAATAAATTAAATAAAAATATAAGCAATCTAAATATCCCGAATATAAATAATCTAAAATATTAAACCAAAATAAATGAAAAGAGAAGTACATTTTTCGACATTCACCTGTTCTCCACTGGCCTATATAGACAGCGAATGTAGTGAGATATTGTCTGATGATGCCGACAATCACCGATTGGTGGTGATGCCGACGATCACCTACTTTGTCTCTTCACACACACACACACACACACACACACACACACACACACACACACACACACACACATGCACACACACACACACACACACACACATGCACACGCACACACACACACACACACATATAAGTTTGATTGAATACTAAAAATTCTCCAAATATTCTATGTCCCGTAAAGAACTTAACTGTACCAAAGCGAGGAAAGTTAAATAAAACTATTAACCGCATTCAATGAACCATAATTAGTGTTTGCTATACAAATAAGCAATTATATATGTGTGTGTGTGTGTGTGTGTGTGTGTGTGCATGTATGTGTGCGCGCGCGCGTGTGTGTGTGTATGTTTGTATCTGTCTGTGTAACTGTGTGTGTGCGCGCGCGCGTGTGTGTGTGTGTGAAATAATGCAGAAAGAGGGCAATAATAAAAAATACCCGATGTAAAATATCGGAGTTAATAATTCTATTAAGTTTAATTATATATTTCGTCGATGCTACTTGAAGATTCATGCATATAGCAATCATCATGCATTATTTTTAACTGAGGAAAAAATATATACTTATTCTTACTATATATATATATATATATATATATATATATATATATATATATGTGTGTGTGTGTGTGTGTGTGTGTGTGTCTCATTAAATAATTTAGACAAGTTTTGTCTACTTATTCTTAATATGATCCTCTCATATTCTTGAACAGGCTTCTTAGTATCCTTATTAAAGAAAGAAAAAAGTTACTATACTGATGGATATTCATTTATTCAGATTATTTTCGAAATTAGCAAAATGTCATCTTCAATTTGTTTTAGCTGAGACAAAATTGTTTTGTTTATCTGAAAATTATTATTTATTTGTGAAGTGAAAAACATTTAAATTTATGAACAGTAAGCGTTTGAAAATTTATGATGCAAACATACTCATGTGTAACCTCACGAAAATATTAAGTATAAACTAACATTTCTGAAGCTATCAATATTAAAATATTTAAACCAAAATTTAAAACTAATTATTGCACAATAATACTGCACAAATGTTTTAAAATTTTTACAGTAGATAGTTTAAAAATATCTAGGTTTTAACTAATAGCTTTAAATGGGTTTAAAAAAATAGATAGACATTTTAACTTGTTACGTTCCATGGTTTTACTGGCCGTGTATGTTTACATCATAAATTTAAAAATCGTACAGTATATAATTTTAGTGTTTTTCACTTCACAAATAAAAATAATAATAATTTTGAGAGAACCACAACAAATTTGATAAAACAATACCCTGATGATGACAATTTGCTAATGTCGAAAGTACTCGGAATAAATTAGTATACATCAATATGGAATCTATCTATCTTTCTCTCTTTCTTATGGATACTAAGAATCTTGTCCGTAAATATGAGAATATAAAAAAGGACACAAATTTATGAAGCGACTGACAGGAACAAAATATGTGATATTTTGGGAATAAAGGTCCAGGTATTCATCTCGCTTGTCTGAAAATGTCTTAAAGAAAATGACAGCAAAAAGAACCTGTATGCGAATAATTAGGAAGGAACAGCTGATATTCTTTCGACACATAACTCGAAAGGACAAACCTAACACTTACAAGGCGTATTGAAGTTAATGACGTGTTTGTGTTAATAGATGGCAGATCAAGGCGCATGAACCTTAGCAAAAGTGAAAAAAAATGTTCTCAGGGTCACAAGGAATGAGAAATTTGGAGAACCATGTTATCCCATGTCCCGAAAAGACGCGTCACGGAGAAGAAAACGTGCGAAAATCTGTTTCCTTCTGGCCATTTTGCGATGAGAGAGAGACAGCAATAAGATGGTCAACTTTAAAGATATTCATGTCAATAGCATTGGATATAGTGATCGCTTGCTTAGTATAATGGGGCCAGTTCCATCGAATGCCAATATGGAAGCGGATAGAAATGACCATGCAGATAGATTAATTGGCAGTCAACGCCGCCTCTTGCCTCGTTGTGAAATCAAAACCAATAAGTGTCAAGGGAAGCAGTCAGGAGACAGAAGCAATGTCCTGTCAATGAAGGCGTAATTGGGGATGTCAATATAAGGTTTCCCATCATTCAATCTGATTTCCTTAATTTTCTTTTGGTATGGTCAGTTACGTCTTTCTTTTTTCACTTTTTTACTCGCTTTCTTTTCTACAATCACTTTATCTTTTACCGTTAATTTTTACGACTTTACTTTTTATTTTTAAATAGATATATTTTATATTTTCATTTTTATCTTTTTTTCTATTTATTTTAGCATCAATTCATTATTTTATTATTTTTCTCCTTTATATTTTTCCCAGGCTTGCAGCAAAATTATGAACAGGCAAGGATAACTATGAGAGTAGAATGGGAACAAGAAGACTATATTGCATCAAAGACAACAAATATATACACTTTATTACATGTAAATTATTTATGTTATGAAATAGACTATCGATAAAATGCTTCCTGAATCCCTACAATCTTAAGCCTTTCAAGTCAAATTAAACCGTTATCTATCGTGGTTATCTTCAAAATATGCAAATCTTTTCCCTTCTTTCTACGCCCTTACAGCAACATTATTTAATTAACTCCTGCCTTGATTGGCTCTTCAGCCTGTGTGAACAATAGTATAAATTACATTGCAGATAAGACGAGATGGTATGGAGATCTGTCTTGTTTTGAAAGTCAGTATTCAAAATTTTACTCTTTAACAAAAACTGACCACTGATTTGGCTGGAGATATTTCTACTGCAAGTCACTTGACACTTTCTTACTCTCCTATTCTTTACACCACAAGCGAATGTCATTTCAATAAAATGTATATTGAAGAGGAATGAAAAAAAAAAAAAAATTAACACAAAGCATTTTACCACGAGGTCCTAAATTCACATTTAACTCAAATGATTAGAGTAAGGAACATTCCCTGATGTCTGCGACTAAAACTACATAATACATGGACATTTTGGAAATTGGACACAAAAAGAAGAACGGGCTAAGAACTGTAAGAAGACATCATTTATGGCGATCAGCAAGAGGGATAGCCCAATATTAGTGGAACGAATCGAAGAAAAGAACTTTAATCGAGAAATGTTATAAAAGACTACTCAAAATGTGACACAGAAATCCGAAGCGCAAGGGAACAACAAAAGATAACTTCCAAAAGCTAATCAAAGTATTAAGAAAACGGAAAATATTTTTGGAATCAAAAATAATAATGATGAACTGTTATGTAACATCAATCAATTTATATAGCAATGAATGCTGGAAAATTTCCTGAAAGATGAAGAGGAGATT